TGCTCACACATCCCGAAGGATCATCACTCTACGCGGGATCTTTAAAGGGTTTTGCTCTCCCGAATTGTTCCGGGAAGGAGACACTGGAGGGCACCAGAGGCCGGGGATGGCGCCGGGCTCCCAGGGACAGCCAGGGACGGTCCCTGCCCTGCGGCAGAGCCGGAGCTGACGCGCCCCTGCCAGCCCGGGCCGAGCTGCGGCCGCGGGGACAAGGGGACAAGGGTGTCCCACTGGGGAGCTGGCGGCAGTACCGGGACACAGGCGGAGAGAAAGCCAGCAAGTGCTTATTTCAGCCAGCACTGCCGGCGGCTCCGGGGACGTGGGAGAAAGAGAGGAAGAAGATTCAAGTCGAGAGTTATTGTAAAAATGTGTATTTCAGCAGTGGTCTGCCCACTTTCCCTTCTCTCATGTCCATCTATTGTCCGTAAACATCCTGGGAGAAGAGATTCATACGTCTGGATGATCCCAGCAGGCTGGTGCCATGATCCTAAAAAAGCAAAGTGCAATTCAACAAGAATGAGGCGAAAAAATTTCATTTGCTAAAATCAAAGTACACAATGGTGCATAAGGTTTGACAATATTAGCATCAGGGAAATGTTTATTGGATTCAGAATGAATTTGTGGTCACTGCAAGAGAGTACCATCCCTGCTTTCACAGGGAAAAGGACATAGTCTTGACTGGGGAGGACATACATCTTTCATGGTTGAGACTTGGTTTGCATGTTACAGATACATGATCTCACCATCAACCTATCTCTAAGTTTTTCAGTCTCCTCTGTCAGAGCTGTTCCAGTTTGAATACATAACTTAATAGTTACCACCTTTGTAGGATAGGAAATACATTTCTTTTCAGCTTCCTAAGCCAGTCTGCTAAATGCTGGACAAGTTCTTGCAAGAACATATTTTGCTTTCATCCCAGTGCAGTATGAACACATTTTTTAAATTACTGACATTTAGCAGATGGGAAAAACAGTTATTTCCTATGTTGCTGGGAGAATGGTGCAGCCAACAGATTCCTGGCTCAGCTGCTGCTCTAAAGCTGTTATGCTGGTCACTGCATGCACTTGAGAGTTCAGCCAGTGAATTATGGTTTGCTATAATAAGAATATTTTGCTTTCCATTAGATCACACTCAGTGGAACAACAGCAAATGCACTGAAGCCACCAAAATGGCTCTCAGTGATATTTCAGGGTCCCTTTGCTTCATTGCTGGTGTCAAACAAGTTCTGGCAAAAGGACACCTTGGCCACATTGTCAGAAGTAACAGATCAGCTCTTGTGAAGGAGGAACAGATGTGGCAGGCCAGGTGAACTGCACAGCACTGAGACTGCAAAGGAATCTTAACAAAGCTGAAAAAATGAAAGCGAAGATCATAAATCATCTCTTAAAACTCAATGCAGAGCTCTCTTAAGGTGTTATGTGAATAACAACACCCCAAGATGTTAGCAGCAACTTGAATTCTTCTCACAAAATCCTTTGAAACAAAAGATACACCTGTCTCCTGGATGGAAATTGTTGCAGGGAATCACAGCAAAGAGACTGGTTCATGCAGCAGAAGCAGAACAGGAGGATATGCCAGTTTGGGTCACTATCCAGAAGTGGGATCTGTTCATATGAGAAGTAAGTGTTCAAAGAATTCCCATAGGATCATATCTCTTTGGAAGGGCAGACCACTTAAAAAGGCCAGATCAGTCATGCAAGCCATGAAGCTGAGGAGTTGCAGGTATTAGCTGCTGTGTAAGCTAAATGCTTTCATATCTGCCACTGATCCTTTGAAACACTGAGGACAACCCAAGGTCAGGAAGCATAAATTTAGACATCTATATCTGCACAAGCTATTAAACCTTCCATTACAGGCAGTACAGTCAAAGGTACACTGTCAGCCAATGCAGGCACATAAAGTGATTTATTTGGTCACCCACAAGTCCTGCTGTAGGATAACCCAAGTTGCTCCTTAGGCTTTACTGACTGTATTGGCTCGAGACAAGATTCACACGTAAACGTCCAGCACTGCCTGTGTGCTGGGTGGGTGTCCTGTCTGGCACCCAGCCATCCCAAGAGACATGGGTTTCCCTTATGTTTTAAGTGCCAGGCACATCTCAGATTTCTTAAATTCATCCAAAGGCACCAAGATTTAGGCAAATGAATCAAACCACTGGTTTCCACTAATCCATTGATCTCCACAGTCAAAATATAGACAGCAAGCATGTTTATATCTTTAGCTGCATGTAGGCATGTTAATTTAAGAGCCTCCATCTTGATATTATCTGTTTTTCTCTGCCCTTGAAAATTTTGTTGGCTAGAAGTTTCATTTTGAGGCTGTTGTGTCTTTTAATTTTAGAAGCTCTCATGCTTTGTTTCACTCACCTGAAATATGTCCATCAACAGTTCACATTCTCAAGCCTTAAGAGGTTGGTACAGAACAAATACATGTGCACAAAGGTAGCTCTAGAGACTCAATTCAAATTTTCCTAACTCTAGCTTGTCGCAGACATCTTGCATGAAAAATCCTTTCTTAGGATTTTTCCTTGTGGGAAGCTGCAGTTTCAGCAACCAAAAGTAAACAATGGTTATCTGCTGCTGTAGAATGCAACAGGTAGACCCGTGACTGATCTCCTGTGGATGTTTAGATTTACTTACCACTCATGGCAGAGCTGGCTCTTGCTCTCAGTCTGAGACACAGATCTTTGTTATTTATTCTTTTCTATTCTTAGCTTAGCTAGCTTCTGAAGAAACCTTTTCCTTTCTATTTCTTTTTAGTATACTCTTAATGTAACATATATCATAAAACAATAAATCAAGCCTTCTGATCATAGAGTCAACATTCTCGTCTCTTCTTCATCCTGAAAACCCTTGTGACCACGGTCACACTGGCTTACTTGTGTTTTGCCAGAAAATCCCTGGAAGGCAGCCTTGTGGCCCTCCTTCAGCATACGGGGACAAAAATTGTACTTATGGGGAGTTATGGGTGATGTGGGAATTAATGTGTTTAAAAACATCAGAAAAAAACAGTCAAATGAGTTCAAAGGAATGGTCAGTATTAATAACCAAGGACATGTATGGAAGCAGTCAGACTAGAAAATGCTGAGGGATGAGTTGTTCATTTATATCATGACCAGAAGACCTCTGCTCCCTCTGCAAGAGGATGGCAACAAGGATGTGACATGGGCCGTGCTTCCTTCCACTGTCCCATGAGGAAGATGAGGGTACTCCAACAGAGGTATCATGGACAACAGACAGCAACCTTGCAGAAGTTTTATGGAGAAAAAAGCTTTTGACGTTGAGATGAGGATCTGGCATTCACTGATCATCATGCAGCATTGGACTCTGGACCAAATTCTGGTCAAGATCAGCTTGGGAGTGATTGTTCCAGTTCATTTCTTTTGAACTTTTTCTCCCAGCCTGCATTCTTTTGTTTTTGCTGGAATGAAACACAAAACAAAACCTGCCTGACATTCAAACTGCTCTGCTGATGACTCACTGACCCACTCCATGGCTTTAAGCTAGCAACTAGCTCACTTGCTGTCTCATTGGTGCCTCCTGAAAAACAGGGTAATGAGTTTTTGCTGATAATGAAAAAGTGAACATGAATTGAATTGTTCCCAGAAAGTAAATTACTAAATAAATATGCATTAACAAGTGATCCTAAGACAAGAATGTGCTTGTGGGAGCAACTGCATTTTCACTGAGGCCAGTCTTGAATAACACCCTACCTTACAAAAGGCTGAGAGTCACTGTGACAAAGCACAAATTGCTACCAAGGTTATTAAGGGGACTCTTTTCATTCAGTGGTATCACAGGGATCAGCAAATGATGTGGCACATTCTTCAGTTTTGTTTCCTCCTTTTGTTGTTGTCCATGGCTGCCCCTTCTGCAGGTACAGCTTGATCCTGCTTCTCAATCTCCTTCCACAAACAACTGAGTGCCCAGCTTAACCAGGCAACTTTGCAGGTCTCACCGTGTTTTAGAGACATTGTCATAATGTCGTAAAAAAGCTTCCAGACCCTTCAGTTTAGAAGGAACACCACTAACATTCACACATTCAGGACAAAACTAGTACAGTAATATATTCACATTTATTTACTTGCATTACCATAAATTTTATAGACACAGGAAGATGTGTTGACTAAGACTTTCATTGTGCTCAACAAAGAAAAGGTCTGAACAGAAGCACCTGGACTGGGAGCCATGAGGTAGAAAGTAACAGAAAACAGAAACAATCACTCTAAGGCAGCAGTTTCAGGATAGCAACCACTCAATCAAGAGTTTAACGAGCCTGAGGACTTTCAGAGAAAATAATTAGGTGGCCATGGGGTGTTTACAATGACTTTTTCAGAGAAGAGAGAGTGCTTCTTGGAAAAAGCATCAAAAGCATGTGTTTGAAAATTATCAGTTTGGAAATGGAAAATTACTAAATTGCATCATAAGCTGATCAGAGGTAAGGCTTGACCTCTAAATACTGACAGGATTATTTTAGAAGTTGTTTTATTTGAGCAGTCACAGCACACAGAACTGTGGTGAGTTCCTGGGAATAATCATTTAATTCCACAAACAGTAAACCTGGTGAAGCCTGGTTTATTTTGAACTCATGTTTTATTTTCTTACTCGCCCAACACAATAACCTCTCCTAAAGCTCTTTATGATTTTCTCCTCACCTCAGCTGTACTTCTTCAGCATGTTTCTTCTCATGACTTCTAAATACCATCTAGTTGAAGCCTGGACAAGGGACATGTTCTGTCTCGCAGCCTGATACTCACAGTAAGTGGCACAACCACTGCTGGTGAGCACACACTTCAGCTTTGCCTCATTCAATTTCCTTTCTTATATAGAGACAATCTTCAGAAGTCATGTAGGAAATCCCACTATTCTTCATCTCAGATGGTCATCCTAACGAAGCAGAAAAGAGAGAAAGGCACTCTTAGTCCCTGATTCATCCTATCCCAAAATAGACATCTAAATCAGGCCATTTGAATCATGGTTAAACATGCCAGCTGGTCTCCACTAACTGTAAGGGCAACCAAAGGGATTATCTCAGATGAGGACATTGGTACTACAGAAGGCTAAACTTAGGTGAAATGAATCCTACTGTAATTCTTTTGAGCTCTGTGTCACTTCATGATGTTAAAGACTGGTGGTTGGTTTCAAAGCTTTTAGAGTGGGACAGATGGATGGGCACTGTGATTGCTGAGTCTTCCTTCATCTCGACTGAAAAATCAAAAAATCTTCCCACTGGGAAGAGTGAGAAAACAAAAATATATTTGTGTATATTTTCACAGAGGAAGATGCTACATTTTCTACCACTTTTTTGAGCTCTCTCCATCTGCTCAACAGCCCCTGTACATGTGTGAGTTGTTAGAGTGCCCAGCTTAACCTCAAGGCACCTCAATGCTGGTGTCACCACCATCTTCCCACCAGATAAAATCAATGAATGTTGACAGCAAGTGCCAACAAATTGCCCTCTTCCACAAAGGTGAAATTAGTTCACTTACCTTTTTGGTTTTTGTAAGCTTTTCCAGGAATTCATGTATATTTTTCTAGTCGGTGATAAAGAAAGAAGGTGATGAAAGAAAGAAGATAAAAGAGATATATTGGTTTCAACAAGATCAGAATATTTAGTTGTCCTGTATTGCAAAACAGAAAAAACAACAATTTACAACTAAAGGACCTTGAAACTTTTTCTTGCAATGCCCTATTTTTAGGACAGCCCAAGTTTCCACATGCCTCTTTCTCCAGCCCTGGAGCTAGACTGCAAAATCCCTACTATGGGCTAGTGAGTAGATGCAGAGGTGCTCCACAACTCTGACTTGGTTTCTCAACACACAAAGAAGTCAATTTTATGCGACTTCATTGTGAAAAGCCATCCTGAACACACAGTTGTACAATAAATGCTCATGACTTACCTTGTGGGTGGGTGAAATTCTAGGAGAGATGGGCTTGGGCACCTCCCAGCATGTCCTACACACCATTTTGCATAGTCATCCCAGGTTGCCACATGCCCATCTCTGCAATTTTTGTGGCATGGGGCTTGGTGCTCATGTGTGCACCAGCCCAGCACAGGGCAGTAAGGATCAGAAAATTTTCACAAATGCTCACAGAGCTCTGCTGGAGGTCGGTGTCACTGTCCCCAGGTTAACAGCCACCCCCAGGCTCAGCCATCACACATAACCTCACCCTGTGAGGAAGCACAAGCTCCCAGAGACCACCCTGCATCCTCCTGCCTGGTCCCCTGAGAGACAGTTCTCTGCCTTCCCTCGAGCTCTGCCTCCTGTGGGCACACATGTCCACGTGGCTGGATGGAAAACCACATCACAACCCCGAGCCAGATTACAGCTGTGGTTTTGTTCCCATTGGCTGAGACTTCAACTGGATTAATTCCTTTGTTGTTCAGACCAAGCTTGTGCAAACTCAAGGGAGAGGGTAGGAATGAACAGGAGGGAGGCAACACTCTTTTAGTATCAATTCTGGCAAATGTTAGCTTAAAAATACAATTCCCATTCCTGAACCAACTTCTCAGCCCTAGCACAGCAATCCTTTTGAGCCTTCTCTCCAAGAATGTGGAGGGCATAGCTGCTTCTGCAGCTGGGCCACCCAAGTCATACAGCCCTCAAAGAGCAGCTGTTGTTAGAACTGGAATGCAAACTGAAGTGCCAGGAGAGGAGGTTCTGAAAGAGTTCACTTCAGACAAGTCACCAGGTTTGTGAAAAGCTAAACTAAGCAGTCACCTGCCTGTATTGCATAGGAGCCTCATGGCAACCCTCAGGAAACAGTATAGAGCTTTTTGTGCTATTATTTTAATTGTGTTTCAATTTAGTAGTGACTAAGCAACTTGAGAAACTCTCTTTCTTCCCTCTGCAAAAAGAATTAGTGTGACCTCCCCACAAATACTTTGAGGCTGCCTCCTATCTCTGTGCACCCCCCTTCTCCCCACAACTTTGAAGTGTAATTTTTAAAAAAGTCACCTGAGTTTAATTCCTGAAACTACTTTTTCTCCTGAAACTGTACAAGCTGTGCTCTATGGAGTCCCATAATTCTGTGTACATCTGCATTTTCCACTTGAAGGTTTTGGAAATAATTGATAGTGCAGAAGATTAAAAAACGCCAACTCACCAGAGAGAAGAGAAAATACTTCTTGCCGTACTTATCCTTTTTTCTGTTTTAGTATGTTTCCTACCAGTTTTGGTAGGGAAGTGGCAGAGTTGATGGCAAATTTGATCTGTCAATCCAAATGAGGAATTAAAGTCATTTAGGAATAACAGGTGCCACCTGGAAAAAAAGCAGAGGACTTAAAAATAATTATGGCTCAATGTATTCATCTTTGCATTCCAGAAGGCTCCCCTTGGTCTCTCCTGAAGATAATACATTAGCACTAGGATGAAATATTGACATGCTTTCAAGCTTTTCACCTGAGATTGAATTATAAGTTACAGATGCTGAGTCATTGGTCTTTTTATTAGCTCAAAGAAATAACATAACATCACTCAAGGATAGAGACCAGACAAATTTTTCCAAAGATAAGAAATGGATTCATTTTCTCTGAAAAAAAAGAATTCTTTATCTTTCTGGCTTAATTTGGTGATGTATCAACAGAAAACCAATATGAATTGATAAAAAGGATTTGTTAATTTATTTTCTTACAGAATATTTGATCCTTTTAGATGATTTCAAATAGCATCATATTGGGTCAGAAATTCCAGACTACCAAGGAATTGGAAACCTGACTTTCACAGCACTGCTGCCACTTATTGATGTAACTTACCATGGAAAACACCCCATATTGATTATATATAACCACAGTATGGCCAAACAACAATACAAAAACACATGCACAAATATTAATTGTTTTAAATTCCAAGCAGCCTAAGATCTAAGCAGAGAGCAGAGATTTTAGGGGAGCGTGAGAACAGCTAAACATTTTTTTAGTTCAGCTGAAATTGTTTAGGTTGACAGAGGGAGCAGGGAACGTGGTCAGTATTTTCTAAAATGCAGCATCTTATGGGTCTGTTATAAAATAGTGGTGTTAAACTTTCAGAAGTAAAGACCCTAGTGATGGGTCACTAATTAACTTACAGTTTGATCCAGGAGAGCTCCTTTATTTGGTCAGTGCTTGCTGAAAAGCAACTAAATATTTCTGTTTATTTTTGGCAATTACATTTACTTTTGGTACCATTCCCACAAATAGCAATGTTCCATTTCAAAGTTGCAGTATCTACTTTTAGATCTCTTAGTATTTCAAAAGGATGAGAATATTTAAAATAAACTACATCCTTAGTGCAGTCAATCAAATATTTCCCCATCAGCTAGGACAGTTTCTATCTTCTGATTCCTCTCAGGTTTAATTCTGTTTTGGATTCTGCTACTGAGTGGCTCTGTAGGTCTTGAAGAAGTCAGTGTGCAAATGAGACAGCTTAACAAATGCAGAAATCTGAAATACAGGAACTTGCTTCCTTCACAAGTACAACATGCAACTGAATAGCAGCTATTGTCTTTATTTTACAGTGGGCAAAATCATGTTCTATTTCTTGACAGAAATTAGTAATTTAGTGTTTTCTGAGTGGTACCATATACAAATCTGGCATCAGTGTCTACAGGAAGAAGTGTCCAGTGGTTCTCCCCTAAAGTTCTTAATTAGACTTTGCAAGACTTCCATACAGCTGAAAATTTTCACTCTTGGTACACTAAGAGTGCCTGTCATTAGAAAATGTTGACAAAAATAGTTGTCATTACTGAGAACAAGACATAAAATACAGCTTCTTTATGGAGGAGTTCAGTCACTGTTGAGAACATGACCAAGTGGGAAATGTGCTGTTTCCTAGGCTGACAGGACTACAACTGGTCCCCTGGGAAGCTCTTTGGTAACTTTGAATTTGATGAAGAATTTCCCACTTGGAAAGGTGAGGGTTGCGCAATATGAGAAACTCCTCAAATTCCAAGGACACAACAAATATGGGTTGGAAGTGCTGGGGGGGCCTTGCTTCCCCAGTCTGTGGAGGTTTATGAACCAAGCAGGGCCTGACAGATGTGCCATCCCCACACAGTAAGGCTGCAGCTGCTCTCTGAAGGCTCCCTGTGAAGGCTCAGCCTTATGCTCTTGTGAAGGCTCCAAGGCGAGGATCAGCACATGGAGCCAATGGATCAGAACAAGATACACACTTATCACAAAGAAATTATGAAAAGCAAATACCAGACAGTTCTGTGCTCAGTTCATTTCGGCTTCTCCTGGAGCTGGGAATAAGCAAGTTTCACTTATCAGCATATAATGTGTCAAAGGCAATGAGAACACAGATGTCTAAGCATCCTTTTGGCACAGACTCCCTGGGAAGGGCAGCCTGTCTCTGAGTGCAGTTCAAAGGACAGAGGACATGTTATGAATCAAAAGCATCCTAACTTGCTGAGTTAAATGACATAAATGACAAAATGAGTAGTGTATTCAACCATGTATAGAACCATGGCCAGAGGCCCCCAAACACCACAGCCAAGCCTTTCCTTTGAGACACCCTTCACAAATGCCTTTGCTGCTCAAAAAGCAAACTGTGCATGGGAGGGCTGGTGCATTCATAGGAGGCCTGCATTTTCACCTTCCCAATTTTGTGAAACTATGAGGTTATTCACACACGCCACCCAAGCAAAAATGGCCCTGCACTGAAAGAAATTTGTTATTGCAAAGTCAATACTTTTAACATCATGAAATGCCAGAATTAAGCTTGCCTTTAATGTGGCATCCTGTTGTGTACATATGATGATACACTTTTTAAATTAGACAACTGCATCGTACTTCTTTCGAGAGATCCCTACTTCATTCAGTACACAGGAACAGATGAGATTTCTTAATGAGATTCTAGGCAGGATTTTTATTAGCACTGATCTTCTACACTCTCTTTTGTTTACTGAACTGACTCCCAGTACAGCTCTGAATAGGAAATTGAAAATGTAATATTTTTTGTAATTATTCTCAAAGTTCAAGTCAACTGCAGCTGAGTTCTATGACTCAGTAATCCAAGATGGTTAACTAAAAAATGCAGACTAAGCAAGCTGTGAAAACCTAGTTTTCATGTCTTGTGTCCCCAGGCTGTGTGAGATAGCCATGTCCAGCTGCATTTACTGTGGCAGTACTCTTACCCTCATTGAAAGTTCTCCACTCAACCCTAAAAGCTGACGTTTCAGAGAGCAGCATATTTCAGCTCAACCCCAGAAAATACACATTTTTTACTCTCACTGGGCACAGTTACACCAATGTCCTCAGGCTGACTGACTGACTGACTGTTGGATGTGTTAGCACAGTACAGACTACAAAGAATACCTGAAGGTATCATAGGGAAATATGAAGTTGAAAGCTTGAAATTCCCTCTGATCTATGCCAGGACAGACCACTGTATCCAATGCCTACATGCAGAGACAAAGAAGAACTCCTTTCTTCAAAGGAAATCTGTTCACCTGAAGGACATAATTTTCCTTGTGTTTTGATTAATCTGTCCACTTGAAGGTGGACCATTCCTCCAGTTTTCCAGGAGACAAAACATGAGGAATGCATTTGTGCAACCAGAAGCACTGAGCTGAGAGCTGCCTGTAAGGCAGTGGCAACTGCAACATGGGAACCTTGACCTTCAGGATGCCAAGAGGTCCAATATGCTATACCAAAGGAAAAAACAGCACAAATAGCCCATTTGTTGAAAAAGAAGTGGAAACCATAATCCATTTAAAGGTTTCAGAGGAGAATACTTTAAGGAAAACCAGCAAGTACCTTCTCTGTGTGGGTTAGCTCTTTCACCCATGACTTCTTAACATACCAGCTCTAGGGTGTGTTTCTTTCAAGAAAGATGCAGGTTTTCACATGTAGATGCCCTCCTGACTGCCTGGCATACTGCACCCAGCCTCCAGCCACAAGGCAGAAGGCACACAAGTCCACTAAGTCCTGTTTTGTGTCTTCAGCTCTGTGTGGATGTCCTGGCCACCCTCTGCAGTTTACATCCAGGCAACTGCCTTGCTCCCCAGCACACATGGCTGCCCGTGTTTTGGCATGAATTGCCCTTGTGCATGAATTGCCCATGCAACTGATGCTCCCACGTTCCTGCCACTGCACCTGCCCAGCCAAAGCAGGGTGCCAGAGGCAACAGTGACTCATCGCTATGTTCACCCCAAGACATGTTGCGTGAGGAAGACAGGTTCTTGCTGTGTTTTGTTTATAATAGGGCTGAAGCTGTACTTCCCACAGAGCTTAAAAAGTGAACAAGAAAGCCTCAGGTGACATTTCAAGGGAGGACAGCTTGGGAGGTGCCTTTTCTTTTAAACTAACCTCAGTAGAAGAATGAGGATATAATCAGGTAAGTGTCAAAATGAATGATGAATCCACGCATCAGATAACTGACCCAGTTTTGAAAGAATATCGTACTTTATTATTTTAGATTGAAAAACAGGATGGTTCAAAACTTAAGGGATTAAAACTACCCCAACTGCAGCCAATGGAAATATTTTCTTTCACTTCAACAATCTTCAGTTAATCTGGAAAAAAAATTTGAAATGCTGGAGAGATTACTAGTTGCTGCCAACCATTAACTTTCCTCCTTTTCCTCCAACTGAATTATGCCAAACCTTTCATGGGCAGTACGTTTCATTGTCATTTACTTATTTGATGTCTTGCTTTTCTACAGATTTTTGAGAGGAAGATGGAAAGCTGATCTGTTTCCAGAATTTATGATAGGGGGAAAAAAGCAGCTAAAAAATGAGGGAAAAAAAAAATGGAGAAGGAAAGCCTACCTTCATCCCATGGAGCTGGCAAGAGACATTATCACCTGGAGAGAGCTGAGGGGCAAGCTTAAAATGTGCCACTACTATTGACCACCCTCCCTCAGAGCAAAGCCTTGTTGCTGGTGTCTTACTGATGATGCCACATTGCAGTCCCAGCTTTATCCACTGAGACCCACGCTGTGAAAGGCAAAACCATAATGACAAAGACAACATATATATGCAGGATGATGCTGGACTGTGCATGAGCAGAATTTGGCCATTTGTTATTCAGGAGTAATGGCACTTCACCACAAAGAACATTAACCACATATCCATGGCTGTAAAGCTTTTGCTTCATTTTTCTCCTCTTCCTTTCCCTAGACCCAGATCCAGTCACATCCTTTGCATTATCTCTGTGCTCATCAGTACATTTATGCTTTGAGTCAACTCCATATGCTATCACAAATGATTCACCTTTTTTCCAGTTTAATATTCTTCCCAATTCCAGTAATTAGAATTGGCTTGGTGCAGGGTCAGAAAACACAAGCCAGTGCATGTAAGGGGAGGTAGGCCAAGGCAGGAGGAGGACAGGGAGAAGGGCACAGAACCTCTTTAAGTGGAAATGAGCTGTCAGAAAATCTCAAGCCCAAACGTGTAACTTTACCTGTGCAGCTTTGCTGCAGACACTTTAATTCTTTGTTATGTGTCCTGCAGGCTTCTCCTAATAGCCATCTGCAGCCTGACAGTAATTATGTAGCCTGGCTCAAAGGATTGAGCAATAATGTGATAAGGTGAACAAAAAGAACTCCAAGAGAAAGCTACCTTTTAAGTATGTTTAGAGGCCTAAAATGTCCAGTAGTATCTACTGAGGTGTTTCCAAAGCACTTAGCCATCCCTTGAGAGCAGCACATGCCTGTTTAGTTGTAGCATCTTTGTCTCTGAGAATCTATCCCTTATCTCTCAACAACCTCCCAGGTCACTTAGGACTGAATCTTTCAGCAACAAACACTGAGAAACAAGTGTGGTAAGACCACCAAAGACCCTGCAGCCCATGATCTATAGCTACTTCCAATAGCATTGTTTATGCACCATGTGGAAGCAGCAGGGAGACAGCAGCTGGGAGCTGTTCCCTCACATAACTCAGTTTCTCACTGGGAAAATGCAGACCTATTCAGCTTATATTCCACCCATTTCTCAGTACCTGAAGCTCTATCCAGAAATACAAGCTGCCAAAGAAAGATAAAAATGGAATGTAAAATTATTCAAATACCTGAACTATTAAATGGAAGGCCAATGTCATCTTTCTTGATATAGCCAGTCTATTTGCAAATTGGCAGTTCAGCCTCACTAATATTTGCTGAGCTAGCTAACAGCATTTTTCACTCAAGATGCCTGGA